GGATCGATTGAATGGTGAAGAGATAAGAGGGGCTGCTTTATTAGTTTGAAAGCCTAGGAGCGCATAGCCCCCTGTTGTATGTACACTGGTACAACTTGACACTGACGTAAACATGCGGGAAACGCGGTGCACATTAGCAACCTCGTGCTGGTGTAAGTACGTGACAACCTCTATAGACAAGATATCGGTCTGAGAATCATTGGTTGAATCAGGTTCTTGTTAGTCTAAAGGAACTTTCTAGCATGGACGAGATGGTGAATGCTATGCAATCTGGGAAAGAAACTCGCCAACTTGGTCGAAGAGTCCACCCTCTGTGCCAAACCGTGACATCGCATCAGGTGCATAGTCAAATGAGTGCTCTTCTCCATCAACGATCTTCAGAGTCGAGGTGACGCCGGCCTTCTGCAAGAGGTTGTGGAGATAAACGGACTCATGAACATGAACTGCGGAATCATCGGATCCATGCACAATGAGGGTAGGTGGCCAGCTGTCCAAGTCCGCATATTGGGGGAACAGGATGCGGTGCGAGTCAGGAATATTGTGACGAAGTTTTTCAGGAACTTCGTGTCCTTGGGTAGAGACATTATCGATCTCGTCCCATGCAGTGCGAAGAGTCTGACTCAGACTTGGTTCGTGCTGGCCTGTATAATAATCTAGAAAATTGCCCATCTGAAGATATAGTCTAGCGAGTTGCATGCGAGGGTTCGCTGGGTATCCCGGGGTAGGTGAATTAGGAGGATGATAGGCTAATGCCGAGTCAGAGAGGGGATCGAGATTTTCGGACGTTGGGTATAGGTATTTCGACAGGTCATTGGGGTCTAAGAGTTCCCGGCCTCTGAAAAATGGTGCGTTCTTCTCGTGGAGGTAATGAGGAGTCTAAACTATGCTTAAATGGGCACGATAAAGAAGACAAAATACAACATACAACGAAATTTCCACCCATTCCATAGAAGCTCAAGACTGTCTTTGGTTTCGGTCTAGCATGCATAGCAGCAAGGTAAGCACAAAGACCTCCTGCGCTAGTCCCCGCAACAGCTATGCGGTTGGGATCTATGTGGAAGTTATGTAATGAAGATACCGCGTGTAGGGAGGAGCTGAAGTCATGGTTTAGAAAGTGGAAGAGATCCCGGATATCCTCGACTACCTGATGACCAGTGGATGGAGGTAGAAGTCTGTAGTCAGAACACAGAAACGCGAATCCCGACGCGACGACACGATCTGGAGGTACTTCTAATATTAACTCTTCTGCATCGGGGGTACGGATATCATGGTTTGAGAACCTTTGAGCCAATGTGGAAACCAGCTCCCTCTATTTCCTACAGTGAGCCCTCCGCCGTGAAAATACACTACTGCTGGAATCGTGGCTTTTGTCGGCTTCTCGTTGGATACGGCACGAGAGGGAAGGAAGACATCTAAGTGAATAGATAGTGTACCAACACGTTTGTATGAAAGTGTTACAGGGTCACTCATGATGGTTGCTCGGGAAGAGGGCTATGACGCGTGTTCACCGATCGTGTTGATCGGCTTACTGGATCATTCGCGTCCGACTTTGGCGGCGTTGAACGCAAACCATTACCGGTATACCACCTCTCGTCTTGTTGTAAACCACTATCAACTACTCAATACAATCGTCACGAGATATAGTAACATTATTATTACTATGAATTTCCAACCTCATGAAAAACTGTCCAAGCATGTTGTTAGCAAATGGTCCGCCTCGTTTGGCCGTCTCAATCGAGAGCAAACAGGCATCACTGGTCTCCTGTCCTTCAGTGAAGTATGAATCTTCTCTGTGACATACTCTACTTGGATCTGACATTCCAAAGGCGTGGACCATCGCGAGAGATTTCCTATATCCTCGAGACCTTACAGATGCTTCTCCACCACCACCGAAGAGTAACTGACTACTTCGCTTGTATCTTCACAAAAGCTAACATCTAACACAGAAATTCGCGATGTAAAGGCTGCGTTCGATGTTCTTGCTCAGTGCAAGATGCTGCCAGTATTAATGGAGGACTTTCTTGGTGAGCCTAGTTTATTCTGTTTGCAAGAAGGACTGTGTACGATGTCTTTGAAGAGGATATGCACAAGCAGCAATATCTAGTTACGAGGGAAATAAAGATTTTCATGGATAAATACGACGTGGGTCTCTCACATCTAGCATGATACGTGATATTGATATCGTCTTATAGGCTACTTCAGATCCTCAGTACATCGCCAAGATGGCCATACGCGTTGTTGAGTGGTACAAGGGTTGGTCTCCTCCCTCCGAGTGAGTTTCGATGACAATTCCTTCTCTTCCCTCTAATATTTGGATTAGACTTGGCGGTACACTGGCTGCGGCATACACCCTGAATTTCCAAACACACATCTACTCCGTCCTACCACCTTCATTCACGCGTGGTTTCAAGGCTCTCCTCAACCTCACCTTCAACCTTGTACATATGGCTTCAGTACCAGAATGGATGAGCAGCCTCGTACCCGCCAACCACCCACCGCCGGCACGGGCGGATTCACCCCTTTGGTCTGCCTTTGATAAACTGGGTTTACTCGATAGATATGAATCTCTTGTCAGCAGTGTCTGTTATGAGTATATCGAGGCATATATTCTTGAGACTTGCACAAAGAGATGGGATGAATCGATGCTTGTTGCAATACGAGAATGGATGACGGACAATATTGTCCCTTGGATGATTATGCCCTATGCTAGAGGCGCAAGGAATGGTACGTTCTGTCGGGTAATTATAGAAATATCATCTTGTCTCATGAAACATGAAACTCGGTGTATTCAGCTGAGGAAGCTCGCTCGATGTTGCAAGGCGTGGGCTCAAGGCTTGACTTCCACGTCTGCAAGACCTTAACTGACCTAAGGTTAGTGCATCCAAAGTTACTGTTTACCTTCACTAAAATATACTATCAGGACTTCAGAAATATTTGACATAATCGTGGATTATCCTGATTCCTCAGGAGCTTTACATGATCTGAAGGTCGATCTTTTTCTTCATTCTAAAGCCCTCTTGAAGCGAATATTTTCCCCTTAGGAATGTCTGCAACGCGTTGACCAAAGGTCTCAACTCGTTCAAACTCTTCGTAAGGCGTAAGTCTATCAGTACTGCCCTTGAAATATATTATTCTCAACCCATCCTTAGAAATAATAAACGTCTCCTACATCCTGGTGCAGATACCAAGGATATCCTAACACAATATGTCTCTATTATTCGATGTCTTCGAATTGTTGACCCGCCGGGTGTTCTGTTGTACAAAGTGGCTGACCCAATCCGTCGCTACCTCAGGTATGTGCAACCGTCAGCTATTCGACCTAGTAATTGGTTATTTAACATTCTTCTTCAGAGATCGGCCGGACACAATTCGGTGTATTGTGGCCAGTCTTGTAGGGGACGGAGAAAGCGGTGACTCACTAGTCGATGATAACGAACCTATTCAGCCTTTACAGCAACAACAGGAAGAAGACTATAGTGATCCCAATTGGGAACCGGAACCCATCGATGCTGGTCCAGGTGCGACTTTGGACTCCTTTCAATACAATGTTTGTGAATATACGAAATAATCCATCTATCAGAGTTCCGAACGAACAAGCCTAGTGATATCATTAGTACACTTGTCAGTATCTATGACTCGAAGGAATTATTCGTCAAGGAGCTACAAGTTCTTCTTGCCCAACGTCTGTTGGCAATCACTGACGGGAACTACGAGAAAGAGGTTCGTCTGGTCTGCACCTTACCACATGAACTTAGTGCTCAAATTACCTTCACAGAGACGAAATATCGAAATCCTTAAGATTCGATTTGGTGAATCAGCATTGCAAGTCTGCGAGGTTATGTTGAGGGACATGACCGACTCGAAACGTACCGATACGCATATTCAAGCGCAAAAGAGTGTAAGTGCATATATTCTTGACTCTGACTCTATTTTATCCATATTGTTATTTTGAACAGTCAAATCTGCACGCTACTGTCATTTCCAAGCATTTCTGGCCGCCATTGCAATCAGGCAAATTCCAGATGCCCGGTCAACTGAAAGAGTACGTGAGATCCTATTTTTCGGTCCGAACGTAAACATGATCTTTATAACAGACTGCGAGAGAAATATGCCAAAGAATTCCATCTCTTCAAACCCGACAAAAAGTTGAACTGGCTTCCACACTTGGGCACGCTCAAACTTGACATCGAATTGGATGATCGAACGATATCCGCTGAAGTTCCACCTCTCGAAGCCGCTTGTATCGAATTATTCTCACAGAAAGGTATGTCGATAACCATATATATGTTTCCCTTTGACTAAACCTTGGATGTAGATGAGTGGTCTGTTAAGGAGCTCATTGAGCAGATGGCCGGGTCAATGGAAAGTACTGCTATTATCAAAGCTCTTGGGACCTGGATAGACTTGGGTATCCTCAAAGAGGAAGGAGAGGATGTATATCGACTCTTGAATACTGCCGAGGAAGGCGATCAGGGTCATAGGCCAAGTACGCGACCAGGTAAGCACCAATCTGTTCGTCGTGTCCCTCGTCTTTAGGATTGACTCCCTTGCGTATAGCGATGACCATAGACGAAGAACCCCCGGTTACATCTCTACAACAGCAAGAGGCGGCACAGATGCAAGTCTTCTGGAAGGTCCGTTCTACGTTATTTAGCCTTCATATGCGTTGATTCTGATTCTCCAAACCAATAGTTCATCGAAGGCATGCTTACCAATCTCGGGACATTAAGTCTGGATCGCATTCAAAGCATGTTAAAGTTTGCGCCGGGGTATGATCGTAACATTGAGCAATTGGGGGGCTTTATGGAAGCGGCTCGGAGAGAAGGTCTCGTCACGGTTAAGGATGGGATGTGGAAACTGCAACGGTAGTACAATCTAAAATATTCCAGGAGTTACAGTTCGGCTGGGAATGTACCTATTGGCTGGAATGAACAAAAGATTGTGATTCAGCAGAAAACACAATCGCGAAAGGCAGAAAAACGAAACGATAACCATCTTCATGACACGAGCGAGATTCGAACTCGCGCCCTTTCGGACTAGATAAGTCAACAGAGACCTGATTCTAGCGCCTTAGACCACTCGGCCATCGTGCCTTACTGCTGGCTTGTATGACGAGCCCCATTCCGATGGTATCTTCAAGTTGTCATGAAATGCGAAATGTGTAATTCACTGATTCCCTCCCGCGGACTTGGAGTCCCGCCACAATGTGCATACACTCGCGTCCACCCAGCTGTAGGTACCTGTCGTTGCTCGATGGACAATGATACTCATTTGGTGCACAGCGGGCTACTGCCAGATGACAGGTGACACAGGGACAGACCTCGTGCGTAGTGCTGGGCATGATGATTGGCCCCAGATCAAGCTTCTTCCCCATCTCAGAGAAGCAACAACAGAGATGATGGTTCTGGGAATGCAATATTGTTAAAGTTTCAATCCGCGGACGCCATATATAAGGTCGATTAACACGACCCTTGTTCGTATCAACTTTCAAGCACCTGTCCAACATCTGACAGCTGTGCGGGTGGTGTCCTAGTGTAGTTGGTTTAGCTGCCATATTGACTCGTAGTTGGAGTCCACATAGCTGCTGCCACTTTTGACGCTGCTCCTCCCCACTGCCCCGCCAGATATCATAAATATTGCCCGCCATGTCTACTTCTCCTCAAACACAATCGGACAAGCCCTCTCCCAATCCCTCCAAACCTAACATGGACGCCCGCACACTAGTTCTTTGCTTCGACGGAACATCCAACCAATATGATGGAGATGTATGTACGCTTTATATCCAATATCTCGCGTACCCGCTGACCTCCTTCTCAGAACACCAATGTAGTCCGCTTCTATTCTCTCCTCAAGAAGGACAACGAGGACGAGCAACTTTGTTATTATCAGCCTGGAATCGGCACCTACCTTCAGCCTGGCGTGGTCTCCCCGCTATTCCAGTGGGGTGCAAAGATACTGGATGAAGCCGTCGCCTGGTATGTTTTCTGTTCCTCGAACGTTCGTCCTGCTAAACACATTGATCAAGGTACCTCGACGCACATGTCAGAGGCGGATACCAATTTCTCATGCAAAACTACCGTCCTGGGGACAAAATATGTATTTTCGGTAAGTGTGTTCCATAGACCTCCGCAGCTCCTTCTAAAACATTCAATCAGGTTTCTCTCGAGGCGCATATACCGCCCGTGCACTGGCGGGCATGCTCCACAAGGTATAACGTCTGAATATCGATGCTCCTTGCTCTTCTCACACTTGCGCATGTAGATCGGTCTCCTTCCCAAGGACAACCCAGAGCAAATCCCGTTTGCTTACAAACTCTACAAGAAGACTGATACCGACAGTGTCACCATTGCAAAGGGTTTCAAGGAAACATTTTGTCGCACAGTGTCCATCGATTTTGTTGGTGTATGGTGAGTGATTCACGTAAAGCACATCAATTGAATTCATTCTAATACCACTTTCAAATTCACAGGGATACCGTCGCCAGCGTTGGGCTGATTATGGGACGTTCGCTCCCCTTCACAACGTCAAACACCATCATCAAGACCTTCCGACATGCATTATCCCTCGATGAGGTGAGTTTCACGCCCACATGACTCTACTGCATCATCGCACGTGTCACAGCAGCAAGGCTGCTGTGACATTTTGACTCGGACCTGTCAGTCTTGGCTTTTCGAGCCCCACCGTGCTGTTCAATGCTCTAACTAGAACAATGGGAAAACTCAAAGGGTGCGATACTGATCATCACATCTCTTATTTCTAGCACCGGGCTAAATTCCGACCCAACCTTTATCACCGACCTGCGCCAGACTCCAAGTCTGCCGCAAAAGATCCGGAGCATGCAAGTCCAGTTCTCTCAGCAAGTCCGACGGCATCCAAACCCAATGCCGCTGATGAGAAAGATCAGGAGGGCAACGCTAAATTCAGTTCGAACTTTAAACGGCGGCTAGCCAAGATGCTTCCAGGCAGGAGGAAGAGGAGAGTGGCCGAACAGGTCGCGGCAAATCATAATCCCCAAAGTCAGGTGTCGAGAAATTCGACCATGTTGTCGGAACCAGGACTTCTGACGCTGCCAGAGGTGAGAGCCTCAGTGGATGATACGATCCAGGGTGGGACAGATGTACTGGAAGTATGGTTTGCTGGGTGTCATAGTGGTAAGTTTTGTTCACAATTTCACACTGTTTGCCTCCCGCTGTTACCGTTCACAATCACAATTAATCACCCACAATTCATATTCAATCTAACTCTAAACCTCTAACTTATCGAATTTGTTTTCGTAGATATCGGTGGAGGTGCTGTTCCAGACGACACCGCCCACAGCTTAGCCAATATCACCCTTCGATGGATGGTCCGCCAAGTCGTTCTCTCCCAGTGTGGTATCAACTTTGACAACGATGCTCTCAAAAGAGCCAACATCCCCAATGCCGTCTTCACAGGCGTCGGGTTCCCTGTCACGCCCCCAGGGACCAGTCGACCTTCCACCAATGGAACGAGGCCCAATTCTGTCGGCCGGCAAACTCAGTTACATCCCGAGAATCCATTGAAGTTGATTGTCCCCGACGACCCCAATTCTGTATCGCTCCCTACCAATGAACCCACCGGGGAACCGACCTCGGCTGCGACAGCAGATCCGAACCCATTTGCTTCGCCCAAAGTTACCTCAGCCGAGTTGTCCGCCGAGAACAGTACTGGAAGCAATGCAGAAGAAAGCAATGTGAACGGTAGTGCGTTCAACACAACTGCCCCCCGGCTCTCTCGAAACGGGATGACTTCTCTGAGTACGGTCATCAGTGACCCTCAGGATGTGGTTTCGGCTATTCATGATCAGCTGAAGCTTGATCCATTGTGGTGGTTGTTGGAGATCGTGCCGACTGGGTACTCGTATCAAGATGGAAAGGGGGTATGGAAGAGGAAGATTGGGTAAGTCCTATTTCTGTTCAGAAATGTGAGGTACCGAAATTGACATGTTTATTAGCTTCCATCTGGGTAAGGGACGTGTCATCCCAGACATCAACCCCAAGTTCCATACCTCTGTCCAAATGCGCTTGGAAGACCCTAATTTGAAGTATACACCGAAAGCCCAGTGGAAGAAGAACACGGAATGTTACGTTGACTAATTCTTTCAAGATCTACTTCCTTTCCCTCTCGAATCATACCCCCACGCTGGAATGAGTTTCATACCCTCTCGCATTCGGAATTTTGCATTGTTACTCGTCTCTCAATATTTCGCTATCAATGATCTGTTACGCCTATCATGACCTTCTACGACAATCTTTCCCTTCACGAATTCTGGCTCCCTGTACTGTATACCTAGCTTCTCGTCATATCTCCCTGTAGTACGTGTATATTGTCCAGTAATGATGAATAATGAATTCACGACGTTACATAATGCCCTTCATCCAGCTTTACAATACAATAAAATATACGAATACAAAGGTATAACCGTAAATATTTCACGCACGTTTGATCCAAGAATCCAGTGTATTTTTCTGCGGGGTTGTTTCATCAGCCTTTCGCCTTTTACGTGCCGGTGAACCTAATGTGAGTACTTTCCATCAATACCTTCGATGAGCCCTGATTCGGAATGGACATTGAGACATACCATCTGCATCCGGCGGTGGTTCGGATTCTAACATTACTTTCCATAATCTTTCGAAATACTCTGTCTGCACAATTCCGCCACTCGCCTGCGTCAAATAACACTTAGTCAAAGGGAATGAACAAGGAGGTGAGCTTTACTTACTTGCTTATGTCCGCGTGCAAAATCCTCGCCCATCGCCTCCCTCAACCCGGGATCCCTCGCTGCATATTTGATCAAGGATTCGATGATGTTCACCTCGTCGTCTTGGTTGTCCTCATTAAACGTGTCATCTGCGGTGTCTTTGATGTCCAATTTAGTCTTACGCGGGCTTTTGGGAGCTGTCGCTTGAGGTTTCTGGCTGGCACATTTGGCGACTCGACAGGAAAAGTTGGACATACCGGGCAGATACCCATCGTTCGCGCACATCACGAATCTGAGTTTCGAAGATTTGAGCGAGTTGGCCCATCGAGTAGCGATAACCTATAATAGAATAAACAGACCGTCTACTCGATTAGTATTCTTAACACGTACCGGGTGAACTTGGGCTCCGCTCGTCACTCGAACTAATGCGACATGTCCGTCTCCTGAGAAAAGAGGGGGTGATCGCGAAACTTTGGCAATCTCGACTTTTATTTCTGCACGAGCTTCGTGTAAGCGTTTGACTTCAGACGATGAGGTCTGGGAGGCTTTGACTATTTCTTCGGGGGTGGAGTTCATCAGAGCCTGGAAATAATGTTATAGGATATCAATGAAAGAAAATTCTAACTTACATTCCACGCTGAATCGACGTCATATTTTGAGGTTCTGCGGGCTGTAAAGTATACACCAGATATGAGAAAAGGCTCATAAAGAAGATACGGACAGCATACGAGCGTTGATAAGGCTGACTACGTCATGTAGCGTTTTCTTCTTAAACTTCTTGACACATGCCTTCATATCTTCCCTTGGCCAAAGATCCTCGAATTGGGAGGTTGAACCTAGATCACCAATCGTACCAATGATGCAAAGACGTTCTAGAAGGTACTCCCGTTTGGCCTTTAGGATCCCTACCCCAGGTAGGTCTTTGCAGAGCATATAAGCGAGTGCGCTCGAGGTAGCTACTGGCGGGTACTTCGCCGCGGACAGAACCTATACGAAGCGACCAGCTTCATGTTGAAACATGCTACCCACAGATTTAGTGACAAACTCAGACTTACCAAAGCATCTTTAGGAAACTGTTCACTCCAGTGGTGGTCAATGACCATGGTGCGAATGTTCTGTCCATCTGCAAGAGGCGGTCCACCTCGGCTTCCTTGGTCAACAGCGATGACGAACTGTGCATTGTGTTCATTTATCTTCGTTCGTTCATTCGCGGTATGAATATTGGAACCCTTCGTGACAAAGTGAACAGAGATAAGGCTTGGAGGATGTCCTAGTGCAACCAGTGCGTGATAGATAATTTGTGACGCGGACAGACCATCCGCATCTTTGTCAGGAAGGAGGAGCGTTTTGGTCTGCTGCTCCTTGGATGATCTT